CACTTCTGTCGATTGAGAAGGGAGGTCGGCGGCTTCGGTGGTGTTCGGCTGAAAAAGTGTCCATTTTCAGTTCCATGAAATCAATGCCGAACACCGCTGGACTTTCCCATGGTTTAAAATGGCCGCCGCCTCGTGGTCGACATACGAACGACGGCCACCCTGTATTCGGTTTTAATTGAGAAGTGTCTGTGGTTAACCGCAACGTTATAATTGGGATCAATAGGTTAATCAGCAGTACACTTCTCTTCTGGGTGGCCGTCCGTTCGGCAGTTTTGTTCGGCAGAAAAGTCAATTCACATAACAGGGGCATACGAACGGGTAATTTCCGTGAAAAAGGCAAACCAGACGAATCCAGCAATCTAAGTTCATACAGATGGATCTGTCACACGGCTCCCCCCTTGTGGAACACTCCGGCAGACCCGGCTTGACCCTGTGGCGGGTCAACTTGGGGATTACAGCACAGCCCCCAGTCCATACATGGAAGCATCTGTATGAACAAGAAAATGTTTGTTAGGGACTGGGGCAGCCAGGACAGGGGCATTCACAAGAGCTTGCTTCAGTCCCTGAAACGCGGCTTCACAAGCTGGAGACCACATGACCTGCTTAGGTAAATTCTTCTTGGTCAGGTCAGTCAGGGGTTTAGCAACAGTGCTGTAGTCAGGAACAAAGCGTCGGTAATACCCTGCTGTCCCCAGGAAGGCCAGCACTTGGGTCTTGGTGATAGGTGTGGGCCAGTTAGCTACAGCTTCTACCTTGGCTGGCTCTGGTCTCTGGCTCCCACATCCTACCCTGTGACCCAAGTACTGTACTTCTGCCATGCCTAGATGGCACTTGTCTGGCTTCAAGGTCAGGCCAGCGGCCCGAATCTTGTCCAGCACCACCCCTACGTGTACCAGGTGTTCTTCCCAGGACTCACTGTAGACCGCAATGTCATCCAGGTATGCACACGCAAATTCCTGGAAGCCTATCCACCATACGCTGGAAGGTAGCATTCTTCATCCCAAATGGCATGACCTTAAACTGGTACAGACCAAATGGGGTGACGAATGCAGACTTAGGGATAGCATCCTCGGCCAGGGGGATCTGCCAATAACCCTTACACAGGTCTATGGTGGTCAGATAGCGCCCCCTGGCAATGCGGTCTAATAACTCGTCTACCCGGGGCATCGGGTAGGCGTCAGTGGTGGTCCGCTCGTTGAGCCGCCTGTAGTCCACACAGAACCGGGTGGTCCCATCTTTCTTAGGCACCAGGACTACAGGCGAGGCCCAAGGGCTGTCTGAGTGCTCGATGACGCCAAGCCTGGTCATCTCCTGTATCTCCTTCCGCATTCCTTCCCGGACTGCTTCAGGGATACGATAGGGGGGCTGTCGTAGAGGACTCAGTCCGGGTGTCTCTACCTTGTGTACAGCTAGGGTAGTGTAGCCAGGTTCTTGGGAGAACGTCACCTGCTTCACCTGCTTCTCCCCCTTGCCTGTACCTTCTCTGTGGGGCTTAACCGGTCCCCTAGCTGTACAAGACTAGTGAGGTCAGTCTGGGGATCCTTCTCTAATAGGTCGGGCAAGGGTAAATTCTTGGGGTCGTCGGCAGCCGGGGCACATACTGCCGCAACATCCTCTGGTCTCTCCTGATACTCCTTCAGAATGTTCACATGAAAGGATCGCTGAATTCTTTCATCTGCACAGCTGCACATACCTGAGCTAACACTTTATACGAGCCCTGCCAAGATGCTTGCATCTTGTTCGTCTTCACAGGCTTGAGCACTAGAACCTTTTGCCCAACCTGGAAGACCCGCTGTCGGGCACCCCGATCGTACCACCTCTTCTGTCTCCCCTGGGCCGCCTGGAGATTCTCCCTTACCATCAGGGATAGTTTCTCCATGCGGTCCCGGAGTTCCAGAACGTATGGCACAATGGGGGTTCCCTCTTGCTCTGTCTCTCCCTCCTAGTGTCCTCTAATGAGATCTAGGGGTCCGCAGACCCTTCTCCCATAGAGTAGCTCAAAGGGAGAGAACCCAGTAGATTCCTGGGACACCTCTCTGTATGCAAATAGCAGATGAGGCAGGAATCGCTCCCCGTCTCTGCAAGTGTCAGTAAAGGTCCTCAACATCTGTTTGAGGGTGCCATCAAATCGCTCGCAGAGACCGTTAGTCTGTGGGTGATAAGGTGAACTGAGCAGCGGTTTAATGCTGCACACCTTCCATGAGCCTAGCCTTTGGGTGATCCCCCCGTTTACCTACCCGTTGACATGTGTCACACATGCTACAATAAACCCGCACATCTCGGTTAAAATTAGGCCAGAAGAAGTTTTGGGTGATCCTATGAGCTGTGCGGCGGGAGCCTAGATTCCGCAGAATCTCTTGCCGGTATTTCGCAGGCACCACTAGCTGCTGATTCTGCGGAGGGGTACTCGATCTCTGGGACGGTTTAGGGATCCTGTACAGCCTATCCCCGACCCACTCGTAACGCTCCCCATCCATTCCCTCTCCCCCAGTATCTGCCCTGGCCCTATACTTCTCTAAAGTCGGGTCTTCCTAGGTTTCCCTCCCGTACATCTCTGGGGTATCCCAGCCTAAAGGGGCCTGGTCTAAGGTACAGGTCGGGGTAGAGAGTCTTACCTGGGTCTCAGCAGCAGGTGGGCCGGTCTCGGCGGCACAGGTCGTGACAGCGTCCACTTCAGCGGGACCCATGGGAGCGTAGGCTGAAACAAGGGGAGCCAAGTAAGTCCTTCATGACCCCCACATTCACATGTCTAGCGCCCACTCCCCAATCCAAATGTATTTGGGCAACGGGTAGGCGAAACACAGCGCCTCCGGCTACTCGCACTGCTACCGTGTCTCCAGTATGTTGTGTCTCGGACACCAATTGCTTCTGAAGTAATGTCATGGTTGCACCGGTGTCCCTCTGACCACTGACCTCCTTCCCGTTGACTTTGACAAATTGCGGTGGTGCTGTCGGGGATAATTTGGGGATAATTTTTCAAAGCAGTGCTCCAACAGGAACATTTGCAGCACCTCTTCCCCGGATACAGCTTGGCACCCTGCCATACAGTGGGCAGCTGTGCGGTGCACTTTACATGCCCATTCAACATAAAAGAGTCCCCAGCTGATTTAACAGTGTCTCTGAATCGCCTCCTGTATGCCTCCGGTGTAACGGCATACCTGGAGAGCAAAGCTTCCTTGACGGCCCCATAATCCCCTATCTCCTCATCAGGAATGGCCCGAAAAGCATCACTGGCCCGGCAGGATAACTTGCATGACAATATAGTAACCCAGTCTTCCAGGGGTACCTTGTGCAGGGCACATTGCCGCTCAAAATCAGCAAGGTACCCATCAATTTCTCCTTCTGTCTCGTTGAAGGATTTAAATCTGTACCTTCTTTCTTTCCACCGGGTTTGCTGGAACTGGGGCTGCTGCAGCACCGCTTTGCTGTAGCAGGTTGGCCTCCACAGCGGCTATGACCTGGCTGATGATCTCTGCAGATGGGTTGGGACCATAATGGGCCAGCCTGATTCTTACCGCCCGGTCAAAGCGTGCCTCCTCGGGGGTTCTGTCAGCTGCGCTGGGCCCATTGGTTCCTTCTGCCTCTGGTACTCCATCCATTTCCGTCAGTAGTGCAATAATCTCCCTCTTTCTGAGATTACTGGCTTGTCCGCCTCTTTGCTCCAATAAATCTTTCAGGGTAGCTCTTTTCAGCCTTTGGTATTGTAATTCCATTTAATCCTGGTTGTAGTGGTCTCTCTGGGCGATGAGGGTCATCCCGTCGCTTGCCACCAGTTGTTACGGTACCCTCAGCATGAAATGTACAAACCGCCGTTTAGTGAATGCTCCCCTTTCGCAATAACAGAAGCTGCATGCATATCCAGTATAATCATGCGAACCGCAAGCAAGGGAACGCTGCAAACTCACGAACGGGATCGGTACGGGCACTTCACTCCACGAGCTCCAAACTCACGAACCGCTAATAGTAGCCGAACGCAGGTATCTCCCAAGCGGCTAATAATCCCATTCAGCAGTCTCTAGGCGTCGGTAATAAATCCCCCAAATAACAAGACCAAGCTCCGCATTGTGGGTAAAACAAGAACTGGCTTTACTGTGGCGATTGAACTATGCGTATGGGATCTGAGCGCTATTCGCCAATAATATGCACTCAGATCCAGGCTATCTTGGGATATGTGACACGAATGGGTAGCATTCGACAAATGTAAAGTTATATATTTTTATGTGTTTTCTGTGTTGAATTTAAAATGGCGATTTGTCTCTGTCCTGGGGATAATTGAATTACTTCTCAATTATCTCCAGGGCAGAGGGGAGGAATTACTACTGCATGATGGGAATATTTTGTGTCTGTGGGTCCTGAATGGCCATATGTCTGTCTATTGTCACAGTCTCCCATTTGGTCCCCTAGGGGAGTGTCCACCAAGTGGGAGACCTGCATAAATACAGGCAGGTGCTAAACAAACTAAATAGGTGTTAAACAAGGACCAGGTGAAGTGCTTAATGAAAAGAAATGAGAAACAGTGCCAAACAGAAACAGTGGTGAGTGTGAGTACGGCACGAGGGCATATTAACTAAGGAGTGTCGTGACAGTATACTTATACACATAGACAGGGTATGTGTGTATTTTAATATTTATATATAGAATTATAAATATATATTAACATCAAAATACACGTACAGTGATATTGATTAAATATATATATTTATATATAATATAAAATAAATAAATCTGTAAATACGTTAAAAAATTAAATTAAAAAAATAATAAAAAATAAATAAAAAATATATATGTGTAAATTCGTTCTTACTGTATTTTAAAATTAATATATATATATATATATATATATATATTGATATCAAAATACATGTAGAACGCCTTGCGCCATGGCGTTCACAGACGCTCCCTTCCGAATCATCACACAGAACTGTAGGGGACTGAACGCCCCAGAGAAACGCATGCACCTCCTACGGGAACTGAAAAAACAACAACATGTATCCATAGCAATGCGGCAAGAAACTCATCTAAGAGCGGCCAAAACACATCGACTGATGGATAGACGCTTCCCGGACAGCTTCCACAGCACTCACCCGACAGCACGCAAAGCAGGAGTGGCGATTCTCCTGGCCTCCGACCTTCACTTCCACCGGAGTGACACGATGGCCGACCCGAACGGCAGATACCTGTTCGTAAAGGGGACGGTAGCCCAGAAGACATACACGTTTGCTTCAATTTACGCCCCAAATACCAAACAAGCTAAATTCTTCCGCAACACACTCCTCAAACTCGCCAACTTCACGGAAGATGCCCTCATGGTGGGAGGGAACTTTAACACTCCCCTAGACCCGATCTTGGACTCGTCAATAGGACATAGCAGCATCCCGCAAACAGCCATTCGGACGATCCGGAGGATTCTGCGCGACATGCGATTGGTGGACACATGGAGAATCTTACATCCGGAGGACCGAGACTACACGCATTACTCGGCCATGCACAATAGGCACGCTAGAATAGATTACCTCTTTATCCAGCAAGAAGAACTGCAAAGGCTACTGGAGGCAGACATCCGCCCTACCCCATGGTCAGATCATAGCGCAGTATACATGCGTATGGAATCACCCCTATACAGACCAACCCGGACCATCTGGCGTTTAAACTAATTACTCCTCTCCGACGTAACGACGCAGGCGCATTGGTGGAACAACTGAACAACTACTTCACTGAAAACGACACCGAAGATAACTCCCCACTTACCCTGTGGGAGGCGCACAAAAGCGTCCTCAGGGGGCGTCTCATCCGGATATCAGCGCAGAAAAAGAGAGAAGCACAAATAAATGACGACACTCGTAGAACCGATAGCAATGCTGCACAAGTGGACTCAACAGGAGGCGCACTACCGCACCCTCCTGACCCTCAGACGGCAACTGACAGACCTGATAGCCCGCAAACACCACAGGACAATCCAGAGATCAAAAGCCTTCTTTTACATCCATGCCAACAAGGGAGGAAGGCTACTAGCCCGTATGCTGCGGAATCAACAAGCGAGTGCACAGGTGAGCGCACTGCGAACAGCTCGGGGCTCCACTACGCAATTCCCCAAGGAGATCGCGAACAAATTCCGCACGTACTATTAAGACTTGTACAACATACTGCCCGAAGCACCGGACGCAGATGGGACCAGAACCGCAGGAGACATCGCACGCTACCTCGGAGACTTTAACCCGGAAGCCCTGTCCTCGCAGGAAGCAGATGCCCTAGACGCCCCGATATCCACAGAAGAGATACTGGCAGTGATTAATACGACGAAGAACGGGAAGGCGCCGGGCCCAGACGGATTCTCGGCGGGCTACTATAAAAAATTCAGAGACATCCTTGCCCCACGCATCGCCAACGCCTGCAACCACCTTCGCGACGGAGGTAGATTCCACCGAGAATCCCTAGCAGCCATAATCACAGTGATTCCCAAACCCGGCAAGAACCTGGAAATCTTCGGCAATTACCGCCCCATCTCACTATTGAACGTGGATGTGAAGATCCTCTCCAAGGTGCTAGCTACACGACTGCAACAATTCCTACTGAGACTAGTCCACCCGGACCAGACGGGTTTTATCCCGGGAAGAGAGGCCAGGGACAGCACCCTGCGGGCGTTCACTATACAAAATCTGACACGTAAAGGAAACTCGGACTTCCTTATGTTCTCCACAGACGCAGAAAAAGCATTCAACCGGGTGAGGTGGAGCTTCATGACGGCAACGCTGATGGCGATGGGTCTGGGGAACGGCATACTCGCCTGATAACTGCACTCTACACCGACCCAACTGCCAGAGTATGGGTAAATGTAGCGCTCACAGCCAACTTTGACATCAACAATGGCACCAGACAGGGATGCCCGATGTCCCCCCTCCTCTTCACCCTCACATTAGAGTCGTTCCTAGACAAGATCAGACGGACACCAGAGATCCAGGGACTCAAACAGAAAGATCAGACACATAAGGTGGCCGCATACGCGGACGACATGCTCTTTTTCGTCGCAGACCCTCAGAACACATTGCCGGCTCTCCTGTGTGAGTTTGAGCAATACGGACGGATATCAGGGCTTAACCTAAACCAAGCAAAATGCGAAATACTGGCAATACGCAATGCAAGGAACACACAGGAGAGACTCCAACGCAAGTACCCTTCCCACTGGTGCAAGGAGCAGATTCGCTACCTGTGTATATGGCTCTCCCGTGACCCGGGCGAGACATACGATAGGAACTACACACCCCTCCTTCGCAACGTACTGACAGACCTGACGATATGGTCGTACGACGACGTCTTCTTGGCAAGGCCATATAGTTGTGGTTAAAATGAACATTCTCCCCCGCCTTCTTTACTGCTTTAGCACCATCCCTTGGCACCTACCCCAAGACTTTTTTACCAAGCTCAAAACAGCGGTAATTAAATATGTCTAGAAGGAGGGGAGGCCACGGCTCAAACACGACAGATTATGCCTGCCCAAACCATGGGGAGGCCTGGCTCTACTGGACTTTCAGAAGTACTTCCAAGCGACAGTGCTCCAGAGGATTCGAGAATGGCACATAGCCCCCACCAACAAACTGTGGACGATATTGTACAGGGAAAGCACAAACAGAGCACTCCACATATACATCTGGCACCGCTCAACAGGGGCCGTACAAGCTCTGGGCGCGTAATCCCCAGTGACGCAGATGCTGAAAACCTGGACCACCCTGCAAGGGAACGCACACATCTCACCACAGCCAAGCCCCCTGATCCCCCTAACATATAACGAGACCATAGGAGGGGGACTGCACGCAAACGCGTGGCCAATACACAGAGAAGAGGACTATGTACCCCTGAGCTCGGCCCTGACAAACGCCAGCCTGCACAGCCTCCAAGAGTGGGCTAACACGGATCACCTGACGATAATGCACCAATTTCACTACGCACAGCTGAGGCACTTCTACCACAATCTTCCCTATAGGAGAGCAGTACATAGAGAATGGACCTGGTTTGAACACTTCTGCGAGAACTCTCCAGAGGCAGATGGCAGAGTGTCAGGCATATACCAACAACTGCTCACAGGGGAACTCACCAGAAATAACGCCTTCCAGAAGCAGTGGGAGGAACTGACGGGCAGAACCTTCACAGACGCCCAATGGCCACAAATTCTCATACTACAACACAAAAGCTCGATAAGCACCAGGTACCAAGAAGTGAACTACAAGCTGATCTCCCAGTGGTACAAAACACCAGCAAGACTGCACAGGATTTTCCCAGGGGTCCCGGACACATGCTGGAGATGTGAAACACAACCAGGCACGCTCCGCCACATTTGGTGGGACTGCTGTGGGATCAAGCCATTCTGGGAAGAGATAAACCGTGAAATCACTACAATTCTGGGAGACCCACCAGACTTTAGCATAGAGGCCATGCTCCTACACTTCTTTACAGGACAGCTGGCACAATACAAACGCTCAATCCTACGACATCTGCTTAATGCAGCCAAAGTACTGATCCCAGCGAGATGGAAGCAAACCCAGCCACCCACTAAAATGGAATGGCTCCAGAGAATAGAAGAGATCCACACAGCTGAGGCGAGATACGCTGAAATACTCACAAACATCTCGAAATGTGGACGCCATGGTACATGTTCACATCACAAGCGAGGACAGGGGGTGGGACACAACAGGGACTCTAGCCAGCAAGAACAACACGCGCATTTCAACATAGCCTCTCTCCCCCCTCCCCCAGAACTGTCCCGATAGGCTAACTCGGGAGTCAGGATAGACCCATACCACATCATAGCTCAACCCCATACCTTTCAGCTCCCCCTCCACCCCCCACCCACCCAACAACACCACCCAACCACACCACCCAACCTACCTCTTCCCTTCTCCCTTTTTTCGGGCGGGGCCGGGGACCACCTGACGCAAAAAGGCCACAATAATATTGGAGCCTGAGAAGGCACCACGGTTTCCCATGGGATGTGGGACCCGCGAGACATCGCATGATAAAGTCGGGAGGAATCCACGACAAGGGAAACTCCTACACAAAACAGCAAACATAAGACAACACATGACGGTTGAAACAACCGAACATCAAGACACCACATCACCCCCACCCAAAGGGGGAAAATACTCCAGACTCATCACAGATACCAAAAGTAGATAGCGACTGGAGAGCGACATCAAACGCCGACTACAAGGAAGCAGGACGACAGTGATGACTAAACACACCACTGAGCCCCCCCATCTATAACGGCACCGCCTCATAAATGAGGGATGGGTACGGACTCTGAACAAGAGGGAAGATGACGCGGGAGAGAACTCACTACATACCTAGGCACGGCAGAAGCTAGGGAAAGGGCAGACAGAAGAGGGAGAACCAGACCTGGTGTAAGACTACTGGACACTGTCCCGTAAGACAAACCCCAACCTCACCCCCCACGTAAGTGGACGTGACCTGGGACCTATCGCACTATTAACCATCTGGTTGGGGAACAAATGCAGAACCTGTCTGTCCTTAATGTTATAGGCTAGCAATCCATCGCCTACAGCAGCGCTATATATAAAGATGCACCTGAAACTTGTGGTGCTCATGTAAGATGCAAATAGAGACCTGCGAGTCTCACTGATAACATTCATATTGTTTCCTGTTATTATCTGAACTTCTAATGAAAGCTTTATTTACAAAATACATGTAGAACAAAATAATATATATATATATATATATATCTATATACATAAGTATATACATATATATCACTATATATATATATGTATATATATGTATATATAATAAAAATAATAAAAAAAAGATATACATATTTCCTGGCTAATCATGGCAGCATATACACATGGGTTAGCTCCTCCCCTTACAGCCAATAGGACAGGTTTAAACAAATTCTTATAAAAGGAGGATCCAGAGAAGAGACCCTTAGTCTTTTTCCAGTCCTTACAGCCCTTAGGAAGGTAGCTTTTTTTTTTTTTTTTAAAGCTCCCTCTATAATTTTAAATACTCTACTACTTTCACCATTTCTTTTGCAGTGTGCTGTAAAGTGCACACTGTATGATTTAATTAATCCCTACAATCCTCTTTCTAGGTGATTCCCCTTTTTACCCGGTTTTATTCTTACCAGGTCAGTCCTGGGCTGCCTGAGACCTTTAGGAGTCTTCCTAACTGCAATTAGGGTCCCTGGCTTTCCGTCCTCGGTTCTCCCAGGTCGGGAGCTCGGATAGGACGCCTGCACATGCACAATGCGCTCTGTTCGTTTTGGCGCCAGAATGCAGTCTGGGTAAGGTCGTGAGGTCGCGGCGGCCATCTTTACTATGGGCAAAATCCGAAAATTACAGGTAATTTGCAGAAAACGTCAGAAACAGGTTAGTAAATGGCTGATACTATTTAAAAGAAACTGGAACTCGAACATGTTGTTGTGGATTCAAATTTTACAATTTGAATTGGATTATCTAAAACAGAAGCTAGGACTCTGGAATCATTTCTATTCTTTGCCACAGGTTTGTGTATTTCTGATATACATGTATCCCTTTATTTTTATAATTTGTTTTGTGTATTCTAAGAGAATTATATGAAATTCTTTATTGTAGTAAGCACATTATGAGCTCTACTAGTAGGAACCCTTTACCCTGTTCAGCAGAATCCAGGTGAGTAGGACTCCATATATATTTTATATATAACGTTAATGATGTTTTTACTCTCCATCTACTAACAGTTACTTATACTACTTTTAGTAATGGAGAACAGTCTATATCATCCCCCCTCATAAAAGGAGACAGAAGTCAGACCCCTGTGCAGGATGTGATGGGAAGGCATTGGAAGGCAAACAGCTGTGCTTAAACTGTTTGCAGAAGGTGGCCACTCAAGCAGGTGTAACACCCACTCAGTCACCAGATATCCTGACTTGGATCCGACAGGAGGTGGCTCAGGGCATCTCAGAGGCCATGGAGGCAAATAATCGGTCTGTGAAAAGACCAAGACAGAGACTGGTATCCTCAGAATACCAGGGTTCAGCTGAAGAGTTTCAGGTTCTCGATCAGATTTATTCTAGTGAGAATGAAGAAGAGGTCTTGTCGGAATATCTAGACGCCAAGACGGTGGATAAACTCATCCTGAA